GCCTGAAAAGACTAGAGCTGCCACGAACAGTCATGATCCTTCTAGAAACTCAAGCGCGCATGCTTCCAGCGTCACGTGACTTTCGCTGTCGTAACCATATGTAAAAAACAGGATAAAAAGATTAAAATTATGGCCATATAAATAAAAGGTCATTTAGGTTGGTCATTAACTTGCTTGTTTTCAAAATAATTTTGCTGATTTCTACCATATCTTGGCCCCCAGTGCATCAAAATAGGTTTATTCTTTTACATAATGTATATACTTAACAGAGTTCAAGTAGACGCGGGAATCGGGTAAAAACTGTACAAGGCAAACGCAAAATTAGTCCTAAGCGTTGCTTTCTATGACGGGATCCGGTCAAGGGTGATTTATATATATATATACACACACACACACACACACACAATATCTTATGGGATAGGTGTGCCATAGCCATCATTACGCTCTGTGTGTGTGTGTATTTTGTGATGCCACACGTAGAAATATCACCCAATTCCTAGAATAATGTGGTTCATCAGCTTGAAAGCTGTTTGGAATTTTACAGAAAGATTCTCTTCTACTTTTTTAAGAGTCAGAGTGTGCTGTTGGAAGTCTTATTGTTGTCTTATTACTTATTACTTTGTTTTCTAAGTATTTAATATTGTGCTATTGTCGATTGTGTGTTTGTTGGAGGTCTTATTACTTTGTTTTCTAAGTATTTAATATTATGCTATTTTCGATATTGTGTTTGTTGGAGGTCCTATTGTTGTCTTATTACTTTGTTTCCTAAGTATTTAATATTGTACTATTGTCGATTGTGTGTTTGTTGGAAGTCTTGTTGTTGTCTTATTACTTTATTTTCTAAGTATTTAATATTGTACTATTGTCGATTGTGTGTTTGTTGGAAGTCTTGTTGTTGTCTTATTACTTTATTTTCTAAGTATTTAATATTGGGCTATTGTCGATTGTGTGTTTGTTGGAAGTCTTGTTGTTGTCTTATTACTTTATTTTCTAAGTATTTAATATTGTGCTATTGTCGATTGTGTTTTTTTTATTTCTTTGTTTTAACACAGCTGATTTATTTCAAAAACCTATTTTACTTTTTTTCAGTTCAAAGTTCTTCTTGTCTCGTTTTACAACTAGTGTTATTCATTGATTTTTTTACGTTCATATTTCGTATCAGTTTTCAAGGACTGTCTTTGTTTGTTACTGGCGCCTTTATTAATAAAGAATTTAGGTACTTATGGTGAGGCCGTGGGAATGGGATACCAATCGTTGTTATTGTTAATAGTCTATACGATCACCTAGGTTTAACTATTAATTAGTAACTACTTTTATAACTGGATACCGATTACTAATTTTATCTTTTTATCCTTTTTTTATTTTTATTCTAAGTTTTATCTTCCAATTTTCTGCAGTTTTCAAGGAAATCATGAAAAGGACCATCTGTGTTGGTACTGTCCAATATTCGATCCATTGGATAACTCACCAGACTCTCACGAAGAAGACCCACGATTGAATTTCGGCCACTATCAACATAGAAAAACTCCTTTTTAGGACTTTTAGGGTGTTCGAAAAGTCTGGAACCATAGACACTTCAACGAATTTTGCAGAATGTGTCTCACATGCTGACCCCGTAATTCTAAACACGTTTGGAGACGGTATTTCTATTCCCTTTGAACAATGCGAAGCACATTTGTGTCATTGTCAATGGTCCGACGCTCGTTGCAAATTCGTTTTCTTTCAGATGTTCGGTGTTCCTGATCTTCTCTTCGTACACACGTGCCTTGAGCAGTCCCCAGAAAAAGTGAGTGAAATATGTAGATCTTGGGGCCAATTCCTGGGGACAACGTCTGCCAATCCATCGTTCTGGGAAGGTGTCATTCAATAAAGCTCGGACTTCCGAGCTGCAGACTTTTCCGACACCCTGTATAGCAGATGATAAGCCGAAACGTGGGATAAAACTAATTAGTAATTAACAAACAAAGTTGAAACGGACAGCAAATTCCAAGTTCAAAATGACACTGGAAGAAAAAATCTTGGAAGATTAATCTACAAAAGTTGTGCTTTTCACCTGAGGTTACTCCTTCAAGATTTTCTCCTCGGGCGTCATTCTGAACTAGAAGGTTGCTGTCCAATTCAACTTTTTTTTATCCATCATGAAGACTCTGCCTAAATCACCTATAGAGGAGTAGTTACTAATGAATCTAATTATAATATAATTAGTAATTAGTTAGACTTAGGTGATCGTATAGACTACCAACATGATACGAATAAAGAATTTGTTTTTATTTGTAATTCACACTCGCCTTATCCTCTTTCAGGTAACAGGCGAAAAGTCGCTAAACCTATTCTTATACATACTAAATTTTCGGATCTCCTGTTATTGCGGTTATCAGGTGACTATGTTCTCTTCAATTTACGAGTTTTGGAATATAACAGAATCAAAATTTCGTTCCTTATCTCTTTACTAGAAAGCAACCCACCTGAAGAAGTAGTCGCTAGGGGCCCTGAAGCTCTTCGAGCATATGAACACTCATGTTGTGAAGGCAGTATCCCACTCTTTCATACACGGATATTTCTTATTGGACCGCCAGGTGGCAATACTACTTTACTGAAATGGAAATTGGTTGGAAAAAGGTACTTAATAAGTTGTGCTATTAAGTAAATAATGAATCAAACATCAGAACATGTATATATATTTCTTACATTCGAGAGTTAATCAAGAACAAAAATAGATTTATTAAAATAAACCTTTAATTTTTAATGTTTTTTTCAAGACTTTTGTTTACAACGAAAACACGTGCAACCACGTGCACTAAACACGAATTTAGCATCAGTAACGTCAAAAAGGTTTAATTTTTTTTGGTTAATCACAGTTCTGAGAATTTAGTTTCAAAGATACTGACATTTTTATAATTTCGACTTTGTTTTAAAGCATTATGTATATACATACATACACACATAGTATATTTATTTTGTACTAGGAGATAATTCTGATGATTTTTTTGCTTACCATATATTCCGTTGTCATTAGTCCGACACAAACATTTTTATCAAACTGCAAGGATCGTTCTTATCACTAAGAATACATTGAAACAAAAGTAATCAGTCATTTTCATATCGAATCGTTTTAAAGTTAAAAAGGTACGGCTTCATTCGCTTCCCCGTACTAATTATCTGTAAAAGTTATTGATCTTGATACACGGTGTCATTGAAACAGATTGCCAGAAGTGGAGCAGGATTTTCTTGGAATCAATACACATTTCACGTGCCAAACGGTTGAAGAAAAAGGAAAAAGCTGGAACATTGTTAGCAATACAATGGAAGAAGACACTGAGGATATGGAGAAATATCTTTTATCCACAAGTAGGTATCGGTTTTCCCAGTTATGTGAACTTTCATCCATAAGTAGTTATTGGTTTCTCAGTTATGTAAACTGTTATACACAAGTAGGTATTGGTTTCCCAGTTATGTAAACTTTTGTCCACAAGAAGTATCGGTTTTCCCAGTTATGTAAACTTTCATCCATAAGTAGTTATTGGTTTCTCAGTTATGTAAACTGTTACACACAAGTAGGTATTGGTTCTCCCAGTTATGTAAACTTTCATCCATAAGTAGTTATTGGTTTCCCAGTTTTGAAAACTTTTATCCACAAGAAGTATTGG